CGTTTGGGGGCTCTCTTTGGGCCGTCTTGGACCATGTGGAAGCATTCTTTCTGGCATGTGCTGGCCGTCTTGGGAGCACTTTGGCGCCTGCCACCCATTCGTCCCCGTTCCCCGCCTCACTAGGGCTTTCTTAGGAGCCCCCTAGGAGCCCCTTGAGGCTCTCCCGGGGGTACCGAGGGTCGCGCCCAGAGTGCGGCGGGATGTTTGCGCCTGCGGCTGCCAGTTTCGAGCCCGAGTGAGATGCCCCTGGGCCGCAGCCTAATAGAGTTTTCGGGGGTGGACAGAACCCCCAACAGTGACACGTCGATTAGTGAATTGTCCGTTTTCGGCTCTCGAGAGGGCGCCGTGGCCGTTATTTTCCAGGCTTGCGCCTGCCAGGTTTGGGCCTCAGGTCGTTTTCACTAAACCACGTTTTACTAAAGGGGGGTCTGTCCATGCCCGAAGTTTGCCGAGTGCAAGCGCGCACGCACTGGGGCTTCGCGATCGTTCCCTCCCTTCCGCCCTGCCTCGTCCCGAGCAAGCATGCCTGCGGGCCCTTCCCGAAACGTCGGCTCGAGTCCGACTCCAGAGCTCCTGTTTCAGACCCTCTTTTTGTTCAGTCTTTAGAGTCGATTTGCGTCGATTAGCGTCTGGGAGTCGGTGGGGTAGCGCCGATTTTGCGTCGGTTGGCGTCGATTCGCGTCGATTTAGCATCGATTAACACCGATTTGGCGTCGATTAGCGTTGATACGCAAGCGCCGACAAAGATGGTACGGGAGGCTCCCATGAGCTGCCACCGAACCCTTTTCTCCGTGGGGCTGGCTTTGATTTCCAAGTCGGCTTCCTGGAGGCCCAGAAGGGCCCAGGCACGTTCAGGCCGCTCGAATTCAGAAGCAAACAGTTTTTGTGTGACGATCGATCGTCACACGTCCGAACTCAAAGCAAGCCGTTTTTTGTGATGACGATCGACCGTCACACAAGAAGCTCGACTTCAGAAGCAGACCGTTGTCAGGCATGACCATCGATCGCCCTCAGACACGGTTCCGTGAGAATCTATACAACGGCGATCGACCGTCGCGCAGGAAGCTCGACCTCAGAAGCAGACCGTTGTCAGGTATGACCATCGATCGCCCTCAGGCACGGTTTCCTAAGAACACATATGAAGGCGATGGACCGTCACACCAGAAGGCCAGCAAACACACACGCGAAACACAGCTGCTTCTCTGCCCCCCCCCTCGTGACGAACGAACAACACACACCCTTACCCATAGAGGGGGTCGTTGGGAGGAGGACTGGCTATGGGTATGGGTGCGGGTCGTCGGACCCCTGGGAACGCTCCCGTTCGAGCGGGGACCCCCATCCGACAACACGCACCCATAGCCCTGTCCGATCCCCGCCCCCTATGGATATGGGTGTGTGTTGCTGGTTCGTCACCTCGGAGCCTTCGGAGCCCTCGGAGCCCTCGCCCCCCTCGGAGCCCTCGGAGCCCATCGGAGCCCTCGGAGCCCTCGGAGCCCTCGCCCCCCTCGGGCCTCGGAGCCCTCGGAGCCCTCGGAGCCCATCGAAGCCCTCGGAACCCATCGGAGCCCTCGGAGCCCATCGGAGCCCTCGGCGCCCCCGCCCCCCCCTCCGGGCGCCCCGCGCCTCGGGGCGCTGCGCGCGCCGCCGCCCGGGCCTCGTGGGGCGGAGAGCGGCCACGCGCCGTCGTCGTCGTCGTCGTCGTCGTCGTCGTCGTCGTCGTCGTCGTCGTCGTCGTCGTCAAGACCGTCGTCAAGACCGTCGTCAAGACCGTCGTCAAGACCGTCGTCAAGACCGTCGTCAAGACCGTCGTCAAGACCGTCGTCGTCGTCGTCGTCGTCGTCGTCGTCGTCGTCAAGACCGTCGTCAAGACCGTCGTCGTCGTCAAGACCGTCGTCGTCAAGACCGTCGTCGTCAACGTCGTCGTCGTCGTCGTCGTCGTCGTCGTCGTCGTCGTCGTCGCCGCCCCCTCTTTCCCGAAGAGGCCGTTGAGGCTGTTCCGTTTGACTCGCCGTTCGCCGCTCGTCCGTTGTCGCGCCGGGAAGGGGGGGATGCAGTGGGGGCCCATGCCGAGAGACACCCTGCATGCGTCCAGGCTGCCCTGGGTTTCTTGGGTTTCGATGGTTCCGTGCTGCAGAGCGTGACGCTCCAACACCCAAGCTCCATGGACTTCCTGGGGTCCCAGGGCTGGTATTCTTGTGGAAGGTCTTCTTGTGGTTGGGCCCCTACTGTATGGGGGGGAGGGGGGAGGACTTCCCAGAAGCACCCCCTGCTTCTTGGAGGGCGCGGGCCTTGTCTACAGATGGCCGGCGCCTTCTAAGAAGCAGCCTCCTTCTGAGAAGCCTTCCCCCCTCCCCCCCCCTTTGCTCCCCTGTGCGCGCCGCCAAGCGGAGGCAGGGGCCTTCTCCCCAAGCTCGAGGAAGCGCGGGCACGGATTCGGGCGGCGTGGAGCAGCGACGGGGAAGGCTTCGTGGCAGCACCCTCTGCTTCCTGGAGGGCGCGGGCCTTGTCTACATATGCAGGGTCGGCGCCTTCTGCCTCCTTCTGAGACGCCTTCCCCCTCCCCCCTACTTACCAGCCTCGAACTTATCCCTATCCCTAAGATTGACATGCCAAAAGGCGATGGCAATCTTAGGGATGCGCCCTCAAAAACAAGGGAATCCCTAAGATTGGCATCGTGATGGGGCGATGCCCAGCATAGGGATAGGGATCTGTTCCAGGCTGGTAACCTACCCCCCCCCTTTGCGCCGCCCAAAACGTGCCGCCGCCGCTCTTCTTGAAGAGACCCGCCTGCGACCCGCTGGCGCCGCGCGCTGCCCTTCGCTGGGGCGGCCAGCTCCTGGCCGCAGGGCGATCTGCGGGCATCCACCAGCTCGCCCTGAGATCCTGGCGTGTTTTTTTTTTTTTTTTTTTGTTCTCTCTCTCTCTCTCGAGAGGGGACAAATCACGCCACAGATAGCCGCCGATTCCCAGGAAGGCTTGGGAGAATGTGGGAAGTGGAGGGGAAGACGGAGCTCAAGAGACTGGAGCTGGAGGAGAATATGGGGAGCGGAGGGGAGGACGGAAGTGGAGGGGAAGTGGACGGAAGTGGAGGGGAAGAAGTCTATTCATATATGTGCTTTTGGGCCCCCTCATTCACGCCGAGCGTTTTCGCTTGGTTTCCTGCCCAGGATGTCGCAGAGTTTTTTTTGCGATGGTGCTACAGTGGGGGCCCATGCCAAGGAGCACCCTGCTTGCCTCCAGGGTGCCCTTGGTTTCTTGGGTGTCGATGGTTTTGCTATGGACAGCGTGACGCTCCCACACCAAACCTCCATGGACGTCCTGGGGTCTGAGAGCGCCGGATCTCAGAGCAGGCCCCGAGCAGGAAAGGTGCCCCCGAGCCAGTGTCGCACCCCTCGTGGATGATCGGGCCGTGGTGCTTGACGGAATCTTGGGCTGTGGCGGCGCAGTCCAGAACGCGTCGGCAGTTTCCACCCCGAAGCCTTCAGGAACACGCCCTGGGCGCCCAAGGGGATTGGAGAGCGAAGAGAAGTGCTTGCATGCGAACGTACGCGCCATGCGAAGAAGGTCGGTCATGATGTAAATGGATCTTCTGGGTCATAAACTTACTGGACAGCATGTCTATTGTAGTGGCCTCTGGCCAGTGCGCCGATCCGGGGCGCTCCTGATGTGGTCGGGAATGGACGCTGACGACGACATCGGACGACCAACGATCGACGAGCGGGATAATTACGACGGCCGACGAACGGGGTAACGACGACGATTGACGACGACGATGATAACGACGACGATGGTGACGACTACGAACACGAACACGAACAAGAACACGAACACGACGACGACGACCGACGACGGCGATGATGACGACGACGACGACCACGACGACGACGACGTTGGCCACGACGACGACGACGACGACGACGACGACGACGACGACGACGACGACGGTCTTGACGACGCCGACGACGACGACGACGACGACGATGACGACGGCGACGACGACGACGACGATGACGACGGCGACTCGTGTCCGAGCAGTATCACGTCATACCATGCACCTCTTGCCTGGCAGCACGCGAGTGAGCGCCTCTTGGGGCCTCTGGGCTCTTGGGGGCTTCTATGGGGCCTTCGGGGCCTTTCTGGGGCTTCTTGGGGTTTTCTTGGGAGCCTCTTGGAGATCTCTTGGGGGCCCAGGGGGGCCTCTTGGGGTTGTCTTGGGGTGGAGGACTGGAAGGTTCAGTTCGGGTTCATCCTCGTAAGGCCACGGGGGGCCGCTCGGGGTCGTCTTGGGTGCTCCCTGGGCTATCTTGGGGCCGTCGTGGACCGTCCTAGCTCCTCCTTGGGGCCTCTTGGGATGTCTTGCGACGATCTTGGGGGCCTCTTGGACCGCCGTCGGCACCTTGAAAACCGAAAAGGCGATAATCTCAAAATGTAACAAAAACCAACGGGATTTTGACGATTTTGTCCTTTCCCCCTCCCTCCCCTCTTGCGGAACCGGAGAACTGGAGTACCCCCCCCCCTGGAACTGGAGAACTGGCATCCCCCCTCCCCCCCCCGGAAATGGAGAATTGGCGCACACATCCCCTCCCCCCCCTGGAACCAGAGAACTGGCGCCCCCCCTCCCAACTCCCTTCCCAGGCAGAGCCACCCTGGCGCCCCCCCCAGCTGAGCTGAAGCTCCTGCTCTAGATTGAAGCCTGAGCTTTAGCTTGAGCTTTTTGATGCTCACACGCCGGATCGGCGGATTGGGCATGTCTATTCCTTTTTTTTGCAGAAGTGAGGGGCCAGGGTCCATGCCATTCCGTATCACGCGTCAGTCTGTGGCCCACTGGTTTTGAACAATGCTCAAAATTGCTGCCCTGACCCGCGGGGCACAAGCCAGCGAAGCCGTTGAACTTTGTGCATGGTTTTGTCACCCTCTCCTTCTCCCCCTCCGCCTCCTCCTCTTCTCCCTCTCCTTCCAACTCTTCCTCCTCTGTCCTTCCCTCCTTCTCCTGCGCTCAAGCCGTTCTGACTCAAGGCGGCACGTGCACCGGCGCGCGGGATTCGCGCGATCGCTGGCGCGGCATCTGCGACCAGGACGCCATGGGGCTGCACCAGCAACGCTGCGCTCGGCTTGAGGGCCTGGCATCTCGCAGGTCCACGCCAGGGAATCAGTGTGCTGTGAATGCCCTCAGTCTGTGGAGCTGGGGATGCCGCTGAAGTACTAGTGCGCATCCGAGTGCCCACTGGCGCCGTCGTGGACACCGGCATCACCGTGCGCGCCACCAATCCCGTTGCCACCACCTCTGGGAGACCTGCGGCCTGCTTGCCCGCCTCAGGAGCGGAGCGGGGGCGCGAGTCTCATAGAGGCTGGGGTATGCCCGCCTGGTGCGATGATGCCGCAGCCCACCTCTGAATCACCAGTTCCAGCAGTACCAGTGCTACACTTCCGAGATGGTGTGGTCGGTTGCGGAGTGGGGCGAAGGTGAAGTTGCAGGGCAGGCAGGAGCGGCAGACGAAGTGCGTAGTAGAGCAGTCCTCCAAGAAGAAGGTCGCGGCGGCAAGGGTGTGGTGCCGAACGTGCTGTAGGATCCGCGAGGCGCCCTCCTGCAACCCCGAGGCCGCCTTACCCTTGGAGCAGCAGTGGGTGCAGATGGAGGTGGTGGAGGATGCCAGCCTGGAGGCCGAGGAGACTTGGGGTGCGTGGCAGCCTGCGGCCGCCTCTTCGGCGAGAGGGGCGGTAATGCCGCTAAGGAGGCACAGGAGCCAGCACACGGTGGAGTTCGAGACGGAATAATATCGTGAAGGGTCAAGGAGCGGGGTCTGAGGAATATCGCTTGACCGACACAGAGGAGCAGGACGTCGCCTTTTGCTGCCCGATCTTGCCTTGGGAGTTCCATGTTGGAACAGAGCCTGCTTATCCTCGAGTGCCAGATCCAGAGGAAGGTGGAGTTCGAGATGATGCTCGTGAATCTGACTACGGAGGTTGCGCGCGGAAGGAACTGGTGGATCCCAGTTTTTCGTTGGCCTCATCGGCGTTGGGTGGTCGTGCGTGCTGTGCGACATCGTCGACTTCGGACTCTGACTTTTCGCTTGGGCCTGCTGGTTGTGGAGGCTGCACGGTCTCTCCTCCCAGTCACTGCCCTGGCCTCAAGCTTGTGCTTGCTGGTGTTCGTGCAGGGCAGGTCTTGGGAGTTCGTTGTCGGCGAGGGGCTTGAAGAACTCGGCGGGCAGTTCCCGAGCAGCATGGGGTAAAGGCTCTGTGTGCCTGAGGTCGGGTTTCCGTTAGATTTCGGAGCAGCGCGATATGGATTTTCACGCACTGGTGGATTTTTTCGATATGATTGTCGAGAAGAGGGTCTTGATGATCCAGCAGCCGCCTTCCAGATTTCGACCTTCTGGTCCTGAGAGCGCTCAAGATCATGGTCTGGGGTCCTCACCGCCTGTGTTCTTCCAGTTTCTAGGCGAGATGCCCATCGCCCGCTCCTGCGCCGTCCGCACCCTCTCCTTGTCCTTCCCCGCCTGAGAGTGCTCGGTGCGCTCTCATGCTTGCGCTGCAGTCCCTCGTCGCCTCGTGTTTCTCGGAGCCTGTCTGTATCCGAGGCTATCCCTCCTCTCGGCCTCGCTCTGAGGCTCCGCCGCCTCCTCCCTCCTCTTCTCTGCCCAATTCAGGCTTCGCGCGGCCCGCTTAGCTTCGACCAGAAGAGGTGCGCTCTCGACCCGCGGATCAAAAAAGTGTTTCTCGGAGCTTGCCGCCCCTGTCGTCCGCAGCAGGACTCTGCGGTCGATATGTATGCACCGTACCGCGGTGGTGTCTTCCGAGGCGTTGTCGATCTTCGACCCAGGAATGGTACGGTGCATACTTCAACGGTCCTTAGGAACCGAAAAACTGTGCAACGTACCACGTTGGAGCGGGGCCTGAGCGGAGTCCAGGCATGGTACGGTGCATAGGCGCCGTTCTCGTGAGAACGCAGCTCCTCTCGCGGGGCGGAGCGGCGCAGCTGCGGGCCACCCGCTGCGGGGTGCCCGGCCGCCCCCGCAGGCGCGCGGTCCCGCCCCGGCGCGCGGCGGGTGGAGGCGCGGAGCCCGTCGTCTCGTGTACGCTGTGCACAGGCTTGTGTCGGCCTTGTAGCTGGCACCACCTCCTCTTCCCTCCTCCTCCTCCTCCTCCTCGTCCTCCTCCTCCTTCCTTCCTTCCTTCCCTTCCTTCCTTCCTTTCCTTCCTTCCTTCGCCTCCTCCCCTCCGCCTCCTCCTCCTCCCCTCCTCCTCCTCCTCCTCCTCTTTCCTTCCTTCCCTCCTCTTTCCTCCTCCTCCTCTCCTGCTCTTCCTTCCTTCCTTCCTTCCTTCCTTCCTTCCTTCCTTCCTTCCTTCCTCCTCCTCCTCCTCCTCCTCCTCCTCCTCCTCCTCCTCCCGGGTCCTCCTCCTCGCCGCCCCCAGGCGCCGCGGCGGCGATCGGCAGTGTCGCGCCGCGCGCGGTGCCGCCCGAGGAGCTGCACCGGGCCTCGGTCGAGGAACCCCTGCGCCCGTGGCCGGGGGAGGGCGGAGGCGGAGGCGGAGGCGGAGGTGGAGGCGGCGGCGGCAGTGGCGGAGGAGGAGGAGGAAGAGGAGGAAGAGGAGGAGGAAGAGGAGGAGGAGGAGGAGGAGGAGGAGGAGGAGGAGGCGGAGTAGGACGGGGAGGCGGAGGCGGAGGAGGAGGAGGAGCAGGAGGAGGACGAGGAGGAGGAAGAGGAGGAGGGAGGGAGGGAGGGAGAGAAGGAGGGAGGGAGAGCGGGCGGGAAGGCGGGAGGGCGGGAAGGCGGGAGGGAGGGAGGGAGGGAGGGAGGAGGAGGCGGAGGAGGAGGGCGACAACAATGGAGGCCAGGGCGACGACAACGAAGGCGATGAGGAGGAAAACGTAGAGGAGTATGGGCAGAGGGGGAGGCAGGAAACAGGGGGCAGGAGGCAGGAAAGCAATTGGCAGGTGGCAGGAGGGCAGGAGGCAGGAGGGCAGAGGATAACGATATGATGAGGAGGATGAGGAGGAGGATGAATGCAACAGATAAGACTAATAAGAGGAATGATAATACCAAACAGACCACCATTAATCAATCTACGAGTGCTAACAGTAAGGCGAATACTAATACTGCTAATAAGACGGCGACTAAAGATACTAAGACGACGACTTCTAATACTAGCATTAAGAGCCCGAATACATAGTACGAACACTAATACTACTATGGCTACTAATATCATGAAGAGTGGTTCTGCTAACCATACGGAATATCATACACATACGACTCAGAACAAAGCTCCGAATACTAATCCTTCTCTGAGTAAGAATATACATACTACGGTCAGTCAGAATATAGCGAACCTGGCTTGCAATAGTGACATTAGTACGCATACTGATGCGACTACTAATCAGACGACACAGACATACGACTAATAAGCATACTGAACCTAAGACTTCGAACCACACTAAAACTACACATACTACTAGTACTACTGATACGAATTGTAAACATAGTAAAAATACCACGACGCATATTACGACGACGAGCACTAATCATGCTAACATCACTACCCATATTAATGTTGGTAGTGCTACCAGTACCAATCATATCATACTACTGCTACTCGTATCAACACTCTTAATACTGACACTGCTACTACTACTGCTACTACTACTGCCACTACATCAACAACTACTACTACTTTTTTATAATATGTATGCGACTAGCATTAAAAGTACTATCCTATTACTACTCAGATAATAGTACACATCTGTAGAAGACGCCTGGTAATCTTGACACTGGTAGTATTAGTAGTACCACGAATAATACTACGAATAAGACAACTGCGAATACTAACACGATTGCTAATAATCGCAGTACGAAGGTGAAAACGAATACCAATGCGCACACGAGGACGGGGTTGCTGATGATGATGATGATGATGATGATGAGGAGGAGAAGGAGGAGGAAGAGGCGGAGAGGAGTCAGATGATGGGGGTGCGTAGGAGGAGGAGCAGGAGACGGGGGAGGAGGAGGAGAAGGCGAAGGAGGGAGGAGGAGGAGGAGGAGGAGGAGGAGGAGGAGGAGAGGAAGGAGGAGAGGAGGAGGAGGAGGAGGAGGAGGAGGAGGAGGAGGAGGAGGAGGAGGAGGAGGAGGAGAGGAGGAGGAGGAGGAGGAGGAGGAGGAGGGAGGAGGAGGAGGAGGAGAGGAGGAGGAGGAGGAGGAGGAGAGGAGGAGGAGGAGGAGGAGGAGGAGGAGGAGGAGGAGGAGGAGGAGGAGGAGGAGGAGGAGGAGGAGGAGGAGGAGGAGGTGGAGGAGGAGGAGGAGGAGAGGAGGATGAGGAGAGAGAGGAGGGGGAGGAGGAGGAGAGGAGGAAGAAGAAGAGAAGAAGAAGAAGAAGAAGAAGAAGAAGACGAAGACGAAGAAGAAGAAGAAGAAGAAGAAGAAGCAGAAGAAGAAGAAGAAGAAGAAGAATAAGAAGAAGAATAAGAAGAAGAAGAAGAAGAAGAATAATAAGAATAAGAAGAAGAAGAATAATAAGAAGAATAATAAGAAGAAGAAGAAGAAGAAGAAGAAGCAGAAGAAGAATAAGAAGAATAATAATAAGACGAAGAAGAAGAAGAAGAATAAGAAGAATAAGAAGAATAAGAAGAAGAATAAAAAGAAGACGAATAAGAAGAATAATAAGAAGAAGAAGAAGAATAAGAAGAAGAAGAAGAAGAAGAATAATAAGAAGAAGAAGAAGAATAAGAAGAAGAAAAAGAAGAAGAATAAGAATAAGAAGAAGAAGAAAAAGAAGAAGAAGAAGAAGAATAATAATAATAATAATAATAAGAATAAGAAGAAGAAGAAGAAGAAGAAGAAGAAAAATAAGAAAAAGAAGAAGAAGAAGAAGAAGAAGAAGAAGAAGAATAAGAAGAAGAGGAGGAGGAGGAGGAGGAGGAGGAGGTGGAGGGAGGAGGAGGAGGTGGAGGAGAGGAGAGGAGGAGAGGAGGAGGATGGAGGAGGAGGGGAGGAGGAGAGGAGGAGGAGAGAGGCGGAGGAGAGGGAGAAGATGCCTGATGATGATGCGATGATGAAGATGGAGTGAGATGGAGGAGGAGGAGGAGGAGGGGGAGCTGCAGCAAAGAAGCGAGAAGATGACAGGCGGAGGTGGAGGAAAATGAGGAGGAGGAGGAGCAGGAGGAGGAGGGGGGAGGAGGAGGAGGAGGAGATGGAGGAGGAGCAGTAGGAGGAGGAAGAGGAAGAGCAGGAGCAGGAGGAGGAGGAAGAGGAGGAGGATGACGTGGGTGACGGCGACGAAGGCAAGAGCGAGGACTAGGACCAGGACGGTTAGGAGGAATCTCAGGCGGAGGAGCAGGAGGCGGAGGACGCGGAGGACGCGCAGAAGGAGGAAGAGGAAGAATTTGAAGGGGGAGGAAACAGAGGAGGAGGAGGAGGAGGAGGAGGCGGAAGAGGAGGAGGAAGAGGAGGATCGCCAGGGGAGTTGCCTTGACCATGCAGGTGTAGAACCATGCTGTGGAACAGCCGTTCCGAAGGATCCATCATGTCTGGGTCTCGTTGGTACCCTCTTGGGGTCCTCTTGGGGCTCTCTCGGGACCCTCCTGGGGACAGCGAGTTGGAGGAGAATGAGCAGGATGATGATGCTGATGCTGCTGATGCTGCTGCTGCTGATGCTGATGCTGATGCTGATGATGATGCTGATGATGATGATGAGGATGAGGATGCTGATGAGGATGATGATGCTGATGATGCTGACGATGATGATGACGATGATGACGACGATGATGATGACTATGAAGAATATTATGATGCTGATGATGCTGCTGCTGATGATGATGCTGATGCTGATGCTGATGCTGATGCTGATGATGCTGATGATAATGATGTTGATGCTGATGCTGATGCTGATGCTGATGATGATGCTGATGCTGATGATGATGTTTATGCTGATGATGATGATGATGCTGCTGCTGATGATGGTGATGCTGATGATTATGATGATGCTGATGATGCTGACGATGATGATGACGATGCTGATGATGCTGATGATGATGCTGCTGATGATGATGCTGATGATGCTGACGATGATGATGATGCTGCTGATGCTGATGATGCTGATGATGATGAGGATGATGATGATGATGATGCTGATGATGCTGACGATGATGATGATGCTGCTGATGCTGATGATGCTGATGATGATGAGGATGATTATGATGATGCTGATGATGCTGCCGATGATGATGATGAATGACTGAGATGATGATGATGAGCTGATTATGCTGATGATTGATGATGATGATGTTGCTGATGATGCTGATGATGTTGACGATGTCGATGATGATGCTGATGATGATGCTGATGATGATGATGCTGATGATGATGATGACGATGGCGATGATGATGCTGACGATGATGATGATGATGATGATGATGCTGATGATGATGATGATGATGATGATGATGATGATGATGATGCTGTTGCTGATGATGATGCTGATGC